CTGGATGGAATGCGGAAGTTTGTCGAGGAAGTCAAGGGTTGTTTGAAATTCTTCGATCATGACGAGGAGGGTAATTTGAGGATCAACCAGATGTATACATCTGGAGCGTCGAAGACGATAATCAAGTGGTACCCGCCGGCTGCCTTAGCCTTAGGAACGGCCAGTGCGATAACGAACAATGTGACGCTGAAGAAAGATGAGAGAGGCGACTTCACGGAATATAAAATAAATCGGGAAGGGTTGATGAAGGATCTGGCCTTGGCCGTCGTTAAGGCGAGTCCAGTCGGTAGAGCCCTGGAAGCTGCTGATACGCTCAGCTCGATAGCGAGGACAGTGACGGGATCTTGACCATAGCCTATGTGATGCAACGGCCTTTTTTGTAAAATGGACCACTATGGACAAGTTACGAAGTTAAGCATTCTAATACATGCTTCCCGACCAAAATTTTACGTAAAACACGATTTATGCTACGAAAATTACTGAAATCAACTCCTAACTAATATATTTGACGTTTTTTGACGCGTGAATCAAACTTCTCGCTCATGATAATATACAGTGGTCTACGTGAGTCAAATCCCACACCAAACTTTACCATGTCAGTCCCTGCGGTATGAAAAGCTTGCAACCTCAATCTTGACGCTTTGGCTCAGCTATAACAAGTTGTTTATTGTTTGAACAATACAGGGTGGAAAATGAACAGGGTTCGATTGAGAAGTCTGCCGAAATCGTTGTAGTGCGCGATTGGACTCACATACAGTATTGAGTTTCTTGTGAGCGGGCAATTCAAATTTCCCGTAGCCAAGGTAAAATAACAACGTGATTTCAGTATTATTCGATGCAAGCCTCGTGTTCTATGTGAAATTCTATTTTAGAAAAATGTATCAGCATGTATAAATTCGTACCTTGTCTAGTGGTCCATTCGATACCCCCATTAGACATCACTGAAATAATATGATCCTCTATGTGATTCACGTGCTCTAACTAGAGAGCATTTACATATATATTTCTTCCTTAAGAAGCTTTCTTGCGGTGTATTTTCTTTCTGTATTTTTTGTACCACTTTAAGTTATATTCTGGTTGAAAAATACAAATTAAAGTTACCCCGTAGTTACACACTTGTTTGTTATTTTTTCAACTTCTCTTTAGTATATGTACATGTAGAATCTACATTTTGAAAATATGTACTGCACCAACATTTTTCGACAAACAGTGTATCGCAGTAAATCATACACGTCCTCATCTCATCCATAACAATTGACTTTGTTTTATTCAATCCTTCCAGGGAGTCCTTTCAAAATATTTCCCGAGCTTAAAGCAGAAATATTTTCTTCTTGAAACTATCCGAAATCGCATTTGCAATTCACCCCGTATCTGAAATTAAGGAAAAAAATCATACATTTTGGAGCATTGCATCTCCATAATGGGCCTGTTGCATGCAAGAGATACAGCCGTGCGAATAGACTTCTAAGAGGTTAAATGCCACGAAAATTACGATGGTCACATTAAAAAAGTCTGAAATACACTCCTCACTGCGCAATTTGTGTTGTTAGGAACGCGCTTTTTCAAATTTCCCGCGTCTGGGGGCAGTTTTCTAACGAAAACAATTAACGGCAACTCGCGGCTATTTCCGGTCAACTAAAACTGACAACATAACCTAAAAATCGGAGCTCGTGACATCGTGAAATGAAATGTAGAAGGATTGCGTTGGATATTTAAAAGTTGATCGATTTGGTTACCGCATAAAGCGTATATGGACCACTATAGGAGATCACGTTGGGTTTGTAAACAAACTGAAGGAAAAAATAACAACAACAACAACGACTCGGCATCTTCCGGAAATCACCGAGCCCGCCGTTTGCTCGTTTCCGGTGATTAGAAAACTGCCCCCAGACGCGGGAAATTTGAAAAAGCGCGCTCCTAACAACGCAAATTGCGCAGTAAGGAGTGTATTTCAGACTTTTTTAATGTGACCATCGTAATTTTCGTGGCATTTAACCTCTGAGAAGTCTATTCGCGCGGCTGTATCTCTTGCATGCAACAGGCCCATTATACCGAAGTGCGTATGCGATTTGATGCAGATGCGTTGCTGCTTGTTTTTGAAGTCTGTCGCTCCGTAAACCTGAAAAAAACTGCCCACACGCGAGGGAAATTTAAACTAGTGGGTGACAAACCAAGTAGATTGCGCGTAAAGGAATAGATTTTAGACTTTTTGATGTGCCCACCATGATAGTTCTTTATCACCGGTCGAGTGTTTACTTTGCGTGCAGCGTTGTAGTTTTTGCGTGCAGCAGACTCCTTTTAGCATACTGCTGTGCTAAGGAAAAACTCCTTATGAACCTTCAAGCGTTGCCAAATTTCCTTTGATAAAACACGAGTTTCCTGGTGAACTTATGAATATTTTATTTCCAATTTTTCAGATAATTTTGTTCGTAATTTCACCTAGAGTTCCTGAAAATTGCAAGGAAAAATATTCATGACTTTTCTCTAAAATACACATTTTATCGAAGGAAATTTGGCAACTCTCGAATGTTCATACGGCGTTTTTCTTTAGCACGGCAGAATACGCGGCACGCAGAACTGATCCGTCGTCGAGACTGTTGACACTCCTCGAAAGCAACACGCCATTTCGATTCTTTGTTTCGCTGCTTGCGAGTAAAAATCCCAAAAATAGCATTTTCCGAAAAGCCGCCCCCACGTGTAGAAGCTTTTTCCAGCAAAACCTGTAACGCCGGAGGTTTAGCGCTTGAAAATTCACTCCTTAAAGTCAGTCAACATAAGCGTAAGCCCAAAGCCCATTAAAAGCTTAGTTCTCGCGGAGAATGGCTCCTAACGAGCTGAAAAATCACTCGAGCCAAGCTCCTGTTTTCCAACTTCCAAATCGAATTGACGCGTTTCCTCGCGCTGCCTTGTTGAGATCGACAGTAAGTGCATTGCAGCTTGGGCCTCGGTTAACACGTAGCTTTACGCGCTTTGAGGCTCACAGCTGAATGAACTTAGTGCTATCTCCAGCAGCATGGCAGTGTGGGCGGTCAGTTCAAATTGCATGGCGGCCTGGCGACGAGCGAATGCCCCGGAGGAAATAATTTACCTTCGAAATTTCTCTATTTCCACGGATTCAATGCGTCAGTGAGTGAGGTGTGAATGAAAGCTCTAAGTCACGTGAGCTATATATTGGTCGGAAATAAAACTTGTGTTCTTGTTTTGACTTTAGTACCAAAAAATAAGCATCGAATGTGGTAAAACTCAAGCGTGCACTGAAAAAAAAAAAACACATTGGATCTCGAGTCCAGACTCTTGAAAACATTGAAAAGAAAAAATACTCTTGATTCAATCGGATTTTTGCTTGAATCGAAACGAAATCCGCTTAAATTGAGAGGCTTGGTTCTTGATCTAAGCTAGATTCTGATTGAATCAAGAGTACTTTTACTTGTCGATGTTAATAAGAGTCTGGACACTCTAGATCCAATGTGATTTTTTCCAGTGTGTATGTATAGTTTCAGCTCTCTATGTCCCCTCAAATAAATGTAGTCCCATCAGGCGCTTTGAGAGATGGAAATCAATGTTTCTATAATGTATGCCTAATGTGGATCACAAGCACAAGCTGCAAGGAATTTAACGAGTCACGGTCTTTTGCACAAAAATTTCAACCGATTTAACTTGCAAGGAAAGAGTTAGTTCAAAGGGGCAATTTTTGGCGACCATGATAGCCGTGTTTAGTAAGTATCCCGTGAAGAACATATTGAATAAAAACGAATTTAGCTATACTCTCCCTCATAAAATTGACGAGTTATTGCGGGCCTAAGACTGACGATCACATCGGTTTGAACGTATCTTAAAGCCTGAAAGAGTTTACCCACAAAGAACGAACTTGAATAACGCAAGACTACATACCGCTATGTTGTTTTACAAACTTGATACCTACGCTGATTTTTTCATATATTCACTTTTTCCCGACAGATTTTAAACGCCACACAGTAGAACGAGCTTTCGGAAAAAGTCGGACAGTTTTTTTTTTAAGTAAACGGCAAATTTTGATTTTGATTTTGTCAGATTTTATATTTTCAGGGGGTGCTTCTGAAACAAGATTCTACGAGAAAACCAAGGGAACCCCTATTAAAAGTTCGACGTTTCGGATTAACGTAAATATGAGCTTTTAAAGTTTTCACTTTTCGTCCAACTTCTCACGTTGACTTGTTCCATTGTGCGCCAGTTTTTGACTTATTTATGAAGGAATTTTGGATAGAAAATAAATTCTGCATTTGTAAGTAAATAGTAGTGTTGTTCCGAATCGTCCGTCAGTAAATTTAAAACGATTTTCAAAGATATTTCGTAAGGAATATTGTTTGAAATTTTTTAGTCAGAAGTATACATTTAAATGAATAGGAAAATAAAATAATCATGGCTGTAGTTTTGACGCAGGGTTTTGGGGGTTTTTGTTCCGGAAAGATGTGGCAAAAATTTAGGAGGAGGAAGCGTGGTTCAAAGTATGAAAGATTCTCTTTTGTTCTCGATTAAATCTGTAATCAACGCCCTCTTCCAAGAATTTCTCATTCCAGCCGCTGATGGGCACAACTTCTTGATTTTACAAGTGTTACAAGTCGCAGTGGTTGCGCGGCGTGCTTTGCGATGTATCGATTGATGTGCCACTCAATCCTATGGAAAAGGATGGATAAACGGACCGCGTTAAACAGAAAGGAACCAAGCCACATCAGCTATTGCCAAATTTAATCGGGCAATTTAATTTTTTACATGAAAACGGTTGTGCGGATTTTTGTGCAAGTTTCAGTGACTTTTCTCCATAATACAAAGCAAATTCCTTAAAAGTTTCAAAGGAATCTGCACAGACGTTCTCTCGTAAAAAAATGAAATTTCCCTGTTAAATTTGGCAATAGATGATATGATGAACCAATGGCTTGGTTCCTTTCTGGTTAACGCGGTCCAAATAGGGTGTTCGCAACGAAAACCTTAAAAATCGATTCTCTACCATAGCTTCAAAGGGGGAAATATGGATAATCTATCGTTCACGCCTTCCCACTGACGAGTGGAAAGCATGTTGACGACATGGTGCATGAGAAATAGTTCATTTGAGTCGTGTACCTGTATATCATGAGAATATTAACTTTTTAATCCCGTGAATGGGCGGAGCGACGAAGAGAGAGCAACTACAATTTTTGAACCAATGTCTCTTTGCGCTTTTCCACTACGTGTAATGATGAGCTCCACTGGAGTAAAAAACCGTATTGCGTCACAATTTTTAGACGTCGCTCGGGTGAAAAAAAATCAAGCAGATTTTAGTATCCGTTTAGTGGGCCGTTCGCGTGGTCATTGTGAATGAATTGTCTGCAAGAAACTGTCAAAATTGTTTGAAACCATTCCATCATGACTGAAACACTTCAGACATCAAAGCTAGTGAACTAACTTAACTCTCAACGTAACTTTCAGTGCGATGATTTCTCGCACGGTCACTTTGGTCGTACTTTTCACAGCTATTTCTGGTTCTTTTGTGAGTATTTCTTTCAATGTTATTTGGTTAAGCACTCCTTTCTTTTTGCATTTTCTTTTGAATTCAATGTCTTGCTGAAAGAGGAGCATTTAGCATCCCTTCTATGACGACCTTGTAGGCAAAATTTGAATGAAATCTTTGCGAGTTATCTCTAAAACTTTCGCTTGGAAACTATTTGTCAACAACAAACTTGAAGTTTGACAAATTTAAACTTTTGCATCAATAGTTAGCATTCTTCAGATTTAATTTCTTTCACGGAAGCTTTTCTTAAAACATGGCGGGCATTTTCAAATTCAACGATCAGCGTTTTGAATTCGTCAATTCAGACCGTCTATTAAAAAAATAAATAAATAAATAAATAAATGATAGGATCAGCAGGGTGTCAAGCATCCGGGTTTCCTCGATTCTATCAGGATTTTACGTCAATCAGGATTTAATACCGATTTCATCAGGATTTGAGAAAAGTCGGCCGCCCGACTTTTTTCTCTCTCCGTCCGAATAATTTTTCTCAGTGAAAAATCAGGATTTAATAAGGATTTGGAATGATTATGAAATCAGGATTTAGCAGTAAAAAATCGGGAAAAATCAGGATGTACCAAAATAAACAAAACTAGACACCCTGATCTAATTGGATGTTGTTGAATTAATTTCAGCATATTTTATGCAAGTAAATCCAAACTGCATGGTAAATTTTTTTCGACAAGTTTTTCACATCACAATAGAAATTAATTTTTCTAGGCTAACTTCCGCGGAGTAGTCAAATAGTTAGATCGTTGTATTTGCTGTTGTGTTAGATTATTGTTACAATGATTACATCATCTTGGTAAGAATATTGTCATTAGATTTTCGTTAGATCTCCGATTCAACGTACGTTGACTTTGGTTTTTCTCGCGAGTGGCAGGTTTGAGTTATCTGATTCCAATATGAACTACAAACACTAAATTCGTTTATCCCATTTCTTTTACGGGTCCGTTTTAATATTTCAGAGGACTGTTGTCACCGAGAGAAATGACACAAAGCAGAACCAACAACATCTCATTCACCTTAAGGATCAAGGAGAAGATGAAAATCCGAATTCAACTTCCTTCAAGTCGCAATGGGTGAAAAATTACGGAGAAAGGGAAGACTTCAACGTTCGAAATTCTCTGCACGCAGGTTATTTCAACATAAATCGAGTTACCGATCAACCATCACACGAATTTCCAGAGTTGGCCGTAAAACCCTCAGTCATCGTTCAGCCACGCATATTCGAGGAAATATACCAAATATGCTCGAAAAATGTAGCAACAGGGGATAGTCAAAATGATGACGTCATAATCAAGTGTAAATCAGAAATTGCTCCAACAGAATTGGCCGATCATATGCAGGATCTAGAAAAAATCGTCAGATTCGAAGGATACGATCTGGAATGTTCGGTCAGTTTACTCAGTGAGAAGTATGGGAACAGCCGTTTGATAAAAGATGGGAGTCAATGGCTCATTGATTTTATCAGGCGTAATTCCAAAAGCAACGTGAAAAATATCAATTCACCTCCTGGGCACGCCCCAAGGTACCTTCTTGGGGAAGTGCATCAAATTGCGTGCTTCTTCAAAGCTGTATCTTTGTTTCCCTCCAATTTGGAGCACCCAACCGATGGATCCCATTACGAAAGTGTAAAGTTGGCAACCGCCAATCATGAGACAGGTCTGCCGACAGAGGACGCTGATCAGAATTTGAAAAGGAGGTTGTTGCAGAAGGCTTATAGCACTCTCAGCAACAAGGCCAATTATGAAGCTGGTCAGGGCCTCGCCGCAAGCGTCCTTCAAAACGCCAGAGAAGGAAGTCGGTGGCTCTGGGAGAAAAGTGCCCCTATAAGGGATACCGTAAGCACAGAGGGAAGGAAATACTTTGATAGGGCTGCCTCGGGGAGCAAGTACTATTTTAACGCAGCGTCGAGAAGATTCAGGGGCTCAGAGCGTGTACAAATTCAAGATAATCTAAGTCTAGGCGGTAGATCATTCGCAGAAACTGCACCTGGAGTGGTAAATCATCTTCTCTCCGCGAACGAACAGAAGAGCCCGTCCCGGAATAGGTCCTTCTCGAACTCAGCGTCAGAGGAACAATTAATACAGGCTCTCAAGAAGGATAACTTGTTCGATTGCCTTCTGAAAGCAGTGAGATTCATCCCCGGTCAAGCTTTGGGACTGGTGACGGAGAATATAACCGGGACGGCCACGAAGGGTTGGGGCTATATCCGCGGCGTCGGAAATTTGATTTGGAGAAGAGGTGAGAAAAGTCCACGCCGTAGTCCAACCAGCAGTCCGTCGAGGAAACCAAACGGTATCAGCAGTCCATCCAGGAATTCAAACGGTATCAGCAGTCCATCCAGGAACCGGAGTCCAACTCGAAATCCATCCAATTCACCGAGTCCAAGCTTAACGGACGTGGTGACTGGGCCTGTGATGCAGAAAACGTACGACATGGTCAAGCAGTGCTTCGAGTTCTTCGAGCATGACGAGGAGGGTAAGTTGATACTGAATCAGCAGTACGCGGCAGGAACGGCAGAGACTGTGCTGATGAAATTCCCGACGACGGCGTTGATGTTAGGAACGGCTCGCGCCGTAACGCAAAATGTCCGCATGACGAGAGATGCGGACGGAAAGTTCAATGATTATCATGTGGATACCCGGGGGTTGGTCACAGACTTGGGAATGGCCGTCGCGAATGCGTCCCCGATCGGTAAAAGGCTAATGGGTTTGAGTAATACGCTAAGTAGGTTGGGTACGTATGGTCCGTGGCTGAACGATGTGGCGAACAGAATTGCGAGCTCTGAAGGGAAGCAACCGAAATGATTGAAGGTCCGCCTCCGAATTGAAAAGCACACTGGAGAAAAAAAAAACACTTTGGATCTAGAGTCCAGACTCTTGAAAACATTGATAAGAAAAATGACTCTTGATTCAATCAGATTTAAGCTTAAATCAAAAGGAAATGCGCTCAAATTAAGAGGCTTGGTTCTTGATTTAAGCTTCAATCTGCTTGAATGAAGAGTCCTTTTTCTTGTCAATGTTTTCAAGAGTCTGGACTCCAGATCCAATGTGTTTTTTTTCCAGTGCACGCATATTATACCTAATCTGGAATTACCTATTATAAAGTGAGCTACGTTTTTTTCATTCCTATTTGCTCTGCTTTTTTATATTATCAATGAATCCGCTACCATTTATGTATATTTCCCCCCATTATTGTTCTAACACCAAACCAAGCACTTTTATTCTATTTTTATATTCCCTCTAAATTGTAGAAAATATTCGTTACAAATATAGGTTATATAGGTTACGAAGGATGTATTTTGTTTTTTTCCCTGATTTAAGAAAAACACACGCAAACAAGTAAAAAGGTAAACTTGATCTTTCGTGGCAAAAATGAGTTAAGTCAATTAAATTTTTTTCAAGTTGGGTATCTATATGGACGCTTTCTCTTTAATCGTATCAGGGCCTACCCTTCCATTGCTCTCAATACTACTGCAAACAATCCAATGCCGCTCCACCCTTTGGTTGCCAGAAGCGAGGAACCAAAAACTGTACACAGTACAAGTTAGTGAATACAGAAAATTCCTCTTCATATGAACAACTTCACATCTCTGTCGGACAGAAGGCGCAGAAATCTATGTGTATTGCTTTTGTCACCAGATCTTTCCTGAATAAAAATCTGCATTTCACAGATAATAACCATTATTAATTGTTACCAATTATTTTTCTTTTTCATTATTGACGGAGGTTTTATCGAGTGCCCGCCTGTTCCTCTCAAAATAGTGAATGTCGAGATGGCCAGCTTTTATTTTAACGAAGAAGTCAAAAACCCAAAACATTGGAATTTTCGGCCTGTGAAAATAACCGCTGAGCTGACGATGAATCTCCTCTTTTTCGTTGCATATCTGACAAGTGAAATGATTTTGCGAGAGACAAAAGTGATCCGAGCACTCGGTTTTCACGTGCACCTCTATTTAGCAAGAAATTTTAAAATGTAAAATAGTGTGATTTTCTAAATTTATCATTTTAGTTAACAGCAATATCAAAATCATAACTGTGATAGAAATATATATTTAATAATAACAATTAAATTATTTATAATGTGAGTCTTAGAAATTGAATATATACTATTAATCTTAAAATAATGGGTAAAATCGATGTCTCTATTATAATAAGTTTAATAGTTTTTTCTTTCATTTTCCTTTCGCTTTTCAAAGATGTCAATATCCGTCCCCCTCCCCCTTCATTTCATTAACTTTCAAATGTTGAAAACCAGGTAGACAAGCCATGTATATAGACTTTCTGTTGGTCAGATTCTGAAGAACTTTTTTCAAATTATTCAAATTTTATCAAGCCAGACACTCATTACAAAATGGCATTTCGGTACTGAGAAATATTTCCATGAAATAAATTCCATATGAATTTTTTTATTTCTCATAATGGTAGCACAGCTCCAGTATTACAGTGACAATTTTTTTTAAGTAGAATGCATCGTGAGAGCGTAAGGCGATGTAAAAGTGCTATACCTATGTGTATATTTTTTCCCCACTCTAATTCAAATAAAGAAAAAACTGACGTTGATTTGCGTCATAAGCTGATACTTTCAAAGTCATGACGTCAACAATGTAACAGCCAGCACGTACATGAACAGGTGCTCTCATCATTCTTGCTAAAATTTGCGAAAGCTTTGCCAATTTCCAGATCACATAAGTTCAACTTTTCTCGTCCACCAGGGAAAATTTTAAAAACCATCATGCCTGTGTCCTTTTTTTTCTCTCCGATTCACGTGGGCAAAATAACGAAGTACACGAACGATTTTTCAGTTAAACTGCGTACTCAGTTAAACTCAGTACTGCGTATTAAAAACTTGCGTGAAGCAACGATCAAGGTCGACAAAAGGCACACATCATTACTGTAATTAAAAAGTATCTCTCGTCAAGTTTTGAAAAATTACGATTAAAAATGGTTTTTTACACGTTTGAATAATCCTACCCTTCTTGTCAAAATCGCCTTTCTTGTCGCAATTTTCCCGATTTCACCGTGGTCTATCAACGAACGATATGAAGAAGGAGCTTCTGTATACGTCATATCAGAAACATCAATCCAAATTCCTGAAAAACTAAAATCAAAACGGCTATCGAAAATGCATCTACACATCCAGCAAATGAGTAGAATTTGCTATAATATCCTCACGCAGATATACACGGTACTTTAAACTTATCAAGAAAAACGCAGTACACCTAGAAATCACCCGATCACGTGAACCTTAGGATTAGGGTAGCATTAATTTATTTTGACTCGAGTGGACAATCAAATTTTTCGGTGAGAAAGAGGTGTAAAATGATGGGTACAAAACGCGCTGATTTCTTATTACGGCTCACAGAAAAAAGAGCAGGGGGTTGTTGGACGATATGAACAAGACATGTCCAATTAATTGTGGCAGTGCCCCAATAAATTACGTCACAAAACCCAGATGTTGCGGTACTATCCTTGTTTGAGTTTCGGTACTGCCATAGTATATTGGAAATGTTCAAATCATCCAAAAAATTTGAGTGGTACCACAATTTTAGGATATAACTCCTTGCACTTTTTTCACGGAGAAAAAGAAAACACGACGGTTACCACGGCAATAATGTCACACGGGATTCCACGGTAGTGATATCGTGGATTTTGGTATAATATTATTGATGAGCACAGTAGCATAACCATGCTCATAATAGTATGCCTGTGCCCGCAGTAATATTACGGTGAACACGGTCATATCACCGTGCTCATCGTTACAAGAATCAAAATCCACGGTTCTACTACCGTGGAATCCCTTGTGACATTACTACCGCTGTAACGGTAAAATAACTGTGTTTTTTTCTCGGTGTTCCGTGTTTCAAAGTTTGAATTTTTCAGTTTCCATCGCGTATTACCAGAAGTATAAAAACATCTGTGAAGTAGCACCTAATACCTGATTTCCGTCAGTGTAGACCATTGTGCACCAGTTCAAGCCGCACTCGCAACGTATTCTCCGAACCTGATCCTGAGTGAATCGCTGCGGCGGAATTCAGTTTCCCTTAAGTTTTGATCGATTTGCGAGTTGGACGACCTTGAAAACAATCTGGAGTTGGTGGTCGTTTCCCTTGTTTTGATTCATCGAAGGAAGCGCGGTCGTTAAAACCCCGAACAGACCATGACCCGGTTAACGCTGGAGTTGGCAAGTTTACTCCCCTACCTGTCTCGAGATAATTAAAACTCGTGCTTTTTTCGACAAGAATTTGACCTAGATTACGCACTACTTGCGCATTATCTGTAGATTTTGCAAGGATACGCGTTAAAAACGGTATATCGACGGTGGAAGAATCAGACCATCCGAAGGACAAGAGGTGCCTTACTGCCTTACGGGGGAGGGTAGGAGGGGTCAAGCGCTGCCTTACGTAAACCGAATTTACTTGTCAAACTTTCGTTTTTATATATTTTATTCCTTCCAAATTTCGTTAATTTTAAGACTGACTGGTCCAAAGTTTTCTTCAGACGTTGAATGTTTTTTGTTGAAATGTAATTTTTTCTGAACTTTTTGAATTTAAAAACTGGTTATTTTTTCAATACAACTGTTATTCTTTATGATCTCCTACCAACGATTAGTAATATTCAAAACAATACCGATTTATTTCTATACAATTTTCCATTAAGTTATGCATTTAAACGATAGAAGGGGGGGTTTGGCAGTCTTCCGTAATTATTTAGGTGGGTCCAGGCTAGCCTTACGATGGCCTTATGGGGGATTAAAAAATCGGAAAAAGTGCCTTGCGTAATTTGAATCAGTGAGATCGAAAACACACCAACTTGGTAACTTGAAAATGCTCAATTTTCATAAAGGTCATTAAAGTTAGCACATCTGTTCCAACTTGGGCCTTTAAAGTGTCCTTGAGTGCTTGTATTCCGGCATGAAAAATATTTTTCTTAGACTAATTTCTTCATCTACTTGTGTGTGTCTTGATTGCTTTCCTTTTTCCGAGTTGGTGTGTTTTCGTTCTCACTGATTCATTTATGGACGACCCCTGATTACGGTTCTTCGTAAGATTTTGAGAACGACTTAAAATTTCGTTGAAGAGGATATTGGCCTGTAATCATAACAAATCGCCATCCCATTTGGCAATGCCCAAGTGGCTGCAATTTAGCGTGTTCGTCTTAATGGTAACATAATGACGATCCGGCGGGAATTCGAACTCGGGAACGGGGACGGAATCCACCGGTCGGTGCGCCCGGTCCGGCCCGGCGCGGCGCACCGAGTATGAGAGAGCAATTTAAATGGACACTGATCGCAGTGCAAGTCTCCGAGACGGCCATAAAACACCGACAGCTTTCGGTCGAGCATCACCTCTAGCGTTTTCGGAACCCCAGGAATGCGGGCGTAAAAATCGGACATGCTCCAAGAAAGCTGTCCGCTTCTCCTCGACTTGGACCGGACCTCACGCTCCCATCGTTCCTCGATGGTAAACTGTACTTTCAGGAAAATGCGGACGATTCGCGGTAATTGCGGGGCTTTTGCGGCCTTGAAACGTCCTTGAATCTTCTCCATCTCTTTCGATCTGATCCCGAGCGGAATTCAGTCCAAGAGGAGAATGCAGGAGGAATGCATTGAGGAGCTCTAAAAGGCTTCCTTCACATAAGAATGGTTAGGTTCTTGATTCCTCCTAATCCGAGCTTAAACCTTAAAATCAGAAACATCACCCTAGTAGGAATAGCTCTTAAAAAAAGTTCTACAAAAAGTTGTCCAAAAAAATGTAAAAATTTGTACATTTTTTAAAGTTCGGAAATTTTAAGTAAAAAAACTCTTAAAATACTCGTTTTAGGAAACCCTTTTGAGGAATTTTTTTAAGTAAAAAAATAGTGTTATTTTAATTAAAAGAAAATTTAAAATTTAGGTAAAAATCAATTAACTATATCCTCAATTTTTACTGGCTGCAACTGTTCTTTAATACTTTCCTGTTCATCACTTTTTTTCCTCATTTTTGCCCGCAGGAAGTTAGAAAAAAAGAAGAAAAAAACGTAAATTTTACTCTAAATTTACTTAAAATTTTGCTTCAAATTTATGTAAAAAAAAGCCCCAAAAAGAGTTTCCTAATACGAATATTTCAGTTTTTTCACGTAATTTTTAAGTGGTTTTAAAGTAAATCTTAAGAGATCTCTTAAAATTTACGAGTTTTTTACAATTTTTCTCAACAGCCACTGCTACTAGGGCAGTTATATCCACCAAGGCATACCTGAGCTAATTTTTCTGTATGTTCTTTTGTTGCAGCTGGTCTCTCGACGGAGAGAGGATATTTCGGACCATGGACTGTTTGCAAACAACAGCTCTACGGCCGAGCCAGGTGTGGAGAAGGGATCTCCAGGTTCCATCCAGTTGGTACGTATTAAAATTCTCTCAGCTACTTGTTCAATAATTGCAGGGCTCGGGTTTTTGTTCTAACCTCACCGTTAATACGAAAAACTCCCAGTCATTCCACGAAATTGATACAAATATCCTGTAACTTCAATGTTCCGCTTCCCGAGCAGCACGTACAATATCGGCAGTTCTCAAATACACACATCTCACCTTTCCATTTTACATAGGAAGTATTTCGTTCGTATCGAAAATGGTACAACTCCAAGGATTAAGCACTTTCATGTTCACTATCTTGTGACTGAAAAATCTCGGTTCTTAGCTGCAAAGCTCCTTTGAGCAATTGAGTAACGTGCGCCTAAAATAAATGTCCACCCACCGAAAATTTTTGGCGGAACTCATTCATGGCGTTTCTTGGATTTTTTTTCTTTTTCTATAGGTGTCTGTTCTCCTAAAGTTTCACTTACGTTTATCCTAGTTTTGAAATATTCACAATGGATGCAGCTTATGATTACATGTATAGCTTTTCGTATTTCATTCCTGTAGGTTTAAATGAAACTCTCATCAGATAAAAAATGGCAGTAAGAACAAAAAGATGGGTTATTACTGATTCTAATTTTACTGAAACTCACTCCTCTTATACAGGGTTATTCAAAAGTCACGCATCACTGGCCAACCCTGTAGTTCTAATTAAGATTTCGACTTGCGGTTTGTGACGTTTTTCCTCATTTCAAGGGGAAAACTTTTTTTAGGTACTTTCCAGTTTTTGATCCCCTCAGGGGGAGGGGGACGGGGGGCAACTAAAAATTTCAAATGACCACCCCCCTCATGGTCGGTAGTGCGTAACTTTTGAATAACCCTTTGTATGTATAAAGTCGCTCGTACAACGTACTCCAACGTTCTGCGACACCCAAACGCCATACATGCTTATCCTCTCAGAGGTCATCGGGCATCTGACACCGTAACATCTCATCGTCAACGCCCTGCCGCCATCCCTTTACGGGACGTCCTCACTCCTCTTAATTTTGAAGAATCCTATTGAAATTGGCTTATTTACAATGAGCGGTGAGATCTTTGGGTGTTTTCAGTGCTTTCCAAGTAAGTGCAAGCGATTATGACCCTAAGACTTAAGTTTTCCGCTGTGTTCGGTTAGCGTCGTTAATTTACTTTTCCGACTTGGGCATTTTTCAGTTGCTGTCAAAGTGGCCGGCCTGTTCGCCGTGGGCGGAGTTGTCATCCTCGCCATATTTTGCATCCTCAGTATCCTTCAAATTGCAATGGTCGTCTCCAAAGAACAAGTTGTCATGCCTTACAGCTCAGCCGTCACCACAAAATTAGCCTTAGCTCTTGTAGCAGGTGAGAAGATTTACCCCACTTCCCTCAAACAACCTTACAAACACAAAAAAAAAAATTAATTTCCTCTCAGAGAGGAGGATTTTGCTCTTGGTTTCTTCTCTTCGATTTACAGTCTTTGTTTTGTCTTTGTTTCAAATCAAGTTCTAATTACAATTTAACTCCAAAAGTTTATTTTTTTTTATATTTTATTTCCTATATGTTTTGTATTTATCTCCATTAGGTTTTTTTGTAAGCTGAGCTGTGCAAACATATGCAAAGTAAAATATAAACCGCATTGGCTCAGGGGACAGTTATTTTACTTTAGCGAACTGGGAAATAATCTGAGCTGAAGTAAGAACTTGGAGGCAGCATTCTTTTTTCTGAGTCATGGAATTTTTTTTTTTTTCAGTGGTAAAATTTCGCATATTTGCTCACTGTGAGCTAGCAAGCAGTGTAGTGCGAAATAGCCTTCAGACTTTTTTCGCTTAAACAGTTTAAGTGTTCTACAGAGAATTTGCTGTGTACGCACTCAAAGACCTACTGTGAAAATTGTTAAGTTGGAGTTATTGTCCAGTCCGTTAAACTTAAACCCAGGACGTAGTACATTTCAATTCGCACACACTGCGATTCAATTTCGAATATGCGTTGAACTTTCCAAAACATTCTCAAAACTGAATGTTATCATGGGTGAATAAGTAAAGAATCATTTTTAAGTTTTTGAGAAGAACGCGTCTAGAGTTGAGAGGCTTGATTTCCGAATATTGTAGGGTATAAGTGAGCCTAAGTGTTCAACTTTTCCTAGAGTATACGTACCATGAGAAGAGTTTTACTAGAAATGACATCTGTATTTTATTTTTATTTTTTCGTGTATACTTTTACCCTTACAAAATTGAAAATCAGTTATATTGCTGAAAGATGATTAGCGGAAGCAACTTCATAGAGTCGGATTTTATTCTGTCAAAAACACCTCAAGTTCACTTTAAGCGCTCGTTTTTCTAGGAAAGTCTAGGAAAAATACGAAGACAGTGATTTCGCTGTCGGAGGAACATATTTTCCATGATCCATGCATCTTTTTCTGTATCCTCATGCAGTAGTTTTAAATAGCTGCTGCGGGATTCCTTCATAAAAATTAGAACAAGCAGCTGAGAACTATTTCTAATTTCCGATATCTTTGGCAACCAAGTTGAAACGAGCCTGTGCAGATGCAGCATTTGTATCAGACGCTATTGATTACGGAGCTAATCCATCACTGGAAAATCTTATTAAATACGATTCAGTGATTTATTGTTTCAAATACCGCATCATCTCTAGACGTTTCCTCTGTGGAGCGCAAAGTGTGGCCTTAACTTTAGCGCAAGTGTTTAATTTCGCATTTCGATGCATGTGAATCAGAACAGATGCTTCCTAATTCAGCCGCTTTGTTCCTGTTATTGTCTAGAATTAGACGTAGTTATGCTAAAAGGAACTATAATGCACGCATTCCCTAAGCACATAGTTCCTTTTAGCATAAATACGTCAAATTATATCTCCGTCGAGTGATTGAAAATAATGACTCTCCGTCGAAATCCGTGCAAAACCTCAATGTGTACTTGCCATTTATGTGTTGAATTTTCTAATTTATTTATTAATTTTCTACAGGCAATAGCCCAATATAAAAATTATAATAAAAATGTACATACAAATGAATGATTCACGATGTTTGTATGCTTTTTCACGGATTATCTCATTGCCCCCATTAAATTGACACTTTTAAACACAGTTTATTTTTAATTACAGCACTTTTGGCCATCATCGCAGCTGGCCTATTCGCCTTGCAAACGGACGATCATGAGAATGACTTCGAGGTTACAAGGGGCGAGTCATTCTACATGCAAGTAAGTAGTTTCGTTTTAAAGCTGTTGAAAATTCTAATTCACCACGTTCAGGGTGGGGATTCGCTGGATGGTGATAAACTTCATGCCTTTTTCGGTGCAAAAAGGCACTTGTGAGAGTTTTCGTCGAAATTCCAGAATCCGATTTTTCGACTCAACTCAACAATAATCACTCCCATCAAAAAGTTTGTCTCCGTGGACTGAAACCCGAATCACACGCTGAATGTGGCTTGAATGTGGAAGTCATCGGCCTGATGCCTGAATTTTTGAAAAATTCAGCAACGAGTCTCAGCGACTATTGGATAATCTCGGATTTGTCGGAACTATTTAAATAGATTTGATACACATCTGGATGAAAATAACTCGAATTCGCGAAATTTCAGCCGTCGACCGATGACTGTTGACTTCCATGTTCAGCTGCCTAATTCAGCGTGTGATTCCGGCATGAGGTTCCTTTACACGTGAACGGCAATAAATTTTCTTCTTCATGTAGGTGAAGCTAAGTATTCTGCCGTGTCAAGGAAGAACGCCGTATGAACATTCTAGAGTTGCCAAATTTCCCTAAATCAAACATGTATTTATTACGGCATTCATGCACATTTTTCTTTGAAATTTTCAGATATTTGAGATTACATTGCGTACAAAATTGTCTGAAAATGTTGGGGGGAAATATTCACAATTTTTCCAGTAAATTAATTCGATTTCCATCGAAGGATACTTGGCAACGTCTGAAGGCTTATACGGCGTTCTTCCTCAACACGGTAGTATTCCTCAAAACCCCTTGTGACAAAAACGTAAGGCTATACGCGTGGAACGCGAAGCGGGGTTCCAAGTTCGATAATTCTTCATGTGACGAACGTCAAGAAAAACAGCGTTAACGCGTGTAATGGGGTGAAAAATTAATTATTCAAGACACCGTGGAAGCGGCAAACAAGAGGGATCTTTACACAACTCCAGTGGCGTGGCGTGAATTGCGATACATCGATTGTTATGCCATTTAAACCTATAGTAAAGAATCGATTATTAAGGTGTTCGCTGCGAACACCCTGTTTATCGATCCTTTTCCATAGGTTTAAATGGCATAACAATCGATATATCGCAATTCACGCCACGCCACTGGACTCCTATCGACCGATGATTTCCTTCGACTACTCGTAGTCATGGCAACAAAACAGCGGGAATCGGGACTTGACTCTTGGGTCACACATGCTCTCAAGCAGGAATGAATGCTTCGAACTCTCTCAGGGCACTCTTAAAATCGTATTTCCGCCACACCTGTTGAATACGTCGAGGAAGCTGCTTCCCCCTCCCCCCTTGATTTTTCCACCTCAAATCAACAATCCCTGAGGAGTTGAACTCCTCCCCTCTTCAAAGTTGCTCTACCGTATCCACGGTCTTCGTAAAACCGGAAAATTGATAATATGAATGCATTTTCCTTTCCTTTCACGCTTTTCTATTAGCATTACAATCAAAAAAGTTATTTAGAATCCACATTTTAAGAGAGAGGGCTTAGACGAATCGATCTTCATATTGCCTCTTATTCCATTGATAAAATCCAAAAATACAGATCATGATTCCGAAGTTTAAATGGATCCGACTACATATTATTTCTTTAGGAGAGAAAACATGAGTTGTAGGCAGCTTATCTTTGAATAAACCACGATTTAAAATTACGCGACCATCTTAGAGTAGAATTTCAAAACCAGATGCGTAGCTGAATACTATTCATAGAAGGGATTGAAAGCCTCTTAAGTCCTTGGGGAAGTATTTCAGATAATGGAGAAGAAAAGAGGAGGTCTGGAGGCCCTCTAAACCTATTTTCCTCACAGCTGCGCTTGTTAAATGACTTTAAAATTTATATATGTTGAACCTCTACAGTTTTCAAGTTTTAAATTATTAGTTGTAGCTTACATTTATTAAAGTGTAACGTCACGTAAGACCTAGCCGTAGGTCGTTTGTTCTAACACCCTGGCAATGGCGAGGCGTGAATGATGATTATCGATATTTCCCCCATCTGAAAGAATGTTGGAGAATCCATTATTAAGGTGTTCGTTGCGAACACCCTGTTTACCGATCCTTTTCCTTACTTTTAAGTGGCAGATCATATGAAAGGGCCGTTTGTAAAAAAAGTGTCAACTTCTTCCGGAGAGAGAGAAAGACTGGAGAGAGAGAAGAGGGCTGGGGAGAGGGGGCGAGAGGGCAGGGAGAGGAAAAATTGGCAGAGAGAGAAAAACAGTTAGTAGAGAGAGAAAAAAATTAGCGAGAGAAAGATGAATTTTTCATGGCGAAAATAATTTCTCCGCGGAAAATAATTTTACCCGAAGTTGAATTGCTGTTCTAATCAGAGACAAGAGACCCTCCACTGGCCTCCTAGCGACAGGTGGAAGCTTTTACTTTCGGGGTTTCAACAATTCCTTATGGACAATTATGAGCGAGCAACAGTCATCACCATATTTTNACCATGTAGGTAAGTCAACAGCCGAAAATAGGGTGATGACTGTTGCTCGCTCATAATTGTCCATAAGGAATTGTTGAAACCCCGAAAGTAAAAGCTTCCACCTGTCGCTAGGAGGCCAGTGGAGGGTCTCTTGTCTCTGACCATAGCCAAGTTACTAGTGGAGGGTCTCTTGTCTCTGGTTCTAATGTCCAGGATTGAGGTTATACCCTCAACGGTGCCATCGGTTGCACCGGTCGATTTGCTCCGTTGCCACATGGATAAGGATATTCAATTTTATACTTCGGTTCGGATAGTTCCAGTCCCCTCAGTCCAGGCTCATCCAATCCATTCCCACCATTCCATTCTTCCATTCAATCGATATATCGCAAAGCCCGCCACGCCACTGCCATGCGGATGTATCATCGAAAAACGAGCCCAAGAGTCATCAGAATGAGTGATCATTCTTCATTATAACCTCTGCAATAAATTAGTTTCTTTACATTTTTAATTTTATTATTTTTTTTAAAAAAATTGTTTCAGATCGTCCTTCTCATCCTCAACTTTTTGTTATTTATTGTTGCCTTATACGATGTTATGTTCGCCAGACGAATGGGTGGCGACCCAACGATGTGTAACCGAGACCCAACAGGGGCTGCCGCCACCACTTTCAATAATCCGGGATTCCGGGAAAAGTCATCCATGCACCCAGGTAAAAACTTTGAAAAATAATATTGAATCCTAAGAGAGCAACAGGGTGGTTTGCCTTCATTTTGACCGGATTGACAAAACAGCTCTTACGAGACGAAATGCTCGCATCCTCAGAGATTTACTTACTTCGGTGTAGTGCGCTTCTATGAGGACGAAAAAATGCGAGAGTGGCGCATCGTAGTATACGCGCAATGCGTGAAGTATTCCTGCAGTCTTGCAGGCGCTAACAATCGTTCCACGGCCGGCCGCATTGTTAGAGCGATTGACCCTGCGCTGATTGTTGTGATTCATCACGAAAGCTCGAAATAGCAAGGTTAGATTATACTTGAGCCGAATAACTTCCGTTTTTCTGAACAAATTATCAAAATGTTGTGGACCTTTTAAAATATCCGTAAGTAGATTAATAAGCCTCTTAAGTAAATTTATGAAGATACAGCTATTTTAACGGGTTGAAATTGGTTTTGCTTACCTATTTTAATGCCAGCAAATCATACTGTTGCTCATTTCAAACCGTTTTCCATCATTCGGTGCGTCAATCACCTCCATTCATACAAGCAGGTGAAGTACCTACTCGATTTTCTTGGAAAACGTATTGAAAGTCGCTAATATTTCTGTCAGAAAGCATGTCTTGAATTATGTTTTATTCATACGAGAATGCTGGAACTGACTATTTTTCAGTCAGAGCAAAGAGTCAAGGTGTCTCTTCAAAAATTAAAAAGTTGGTAAAAATTAATAGAATGTTGACGGTTGCGGGATTAAGATACAGGGTCATTCAAAAGTCACGCACCACTGGCCATAACTTCAGTTCGACTATGATATCGACTTGCAGTTTAAGACGTTTTTCCTCATAGAGGGGAAAACTTTTTCAGGAACTTTCCTGTTTTTGATCCCCTCGGGGGAGGGGGCGGGGGGCAACTTAAAAATTTCAAATGACGACTCCCCATATGGCCGGTGGTGCGTAACTTTTGAATAACCCTGCATGTTCATATTTCAACGAGCTTGGCATCTGGAATAGACCACCTGACAGGATGTAAGGTTTGAAAACTACGACAGTAGATTCCTCTTTGAAATTTTACGTAAATGAAAACACGGTGGACACATCAAAACTTACCAATTTCGGCTCATAAATGAGAAATCAGCGTTTACTATGATCGGCAGTTTAAAAAACTCACCAACCTTACCAAAGAAAAAAAACAAAAACCAACGCCTACTTGTATCGAATTGGTTACGTAAAATTTTTATTTTACTATCCCGCGTTGATTTTAGTTCCACAGGAAGCATGAAGTACTTACTGGTCTTACTGTAAACTCAGAACACTATTATTCCTTTTGTTATTAGTTAATAAGGACAAAACGAACGTGTTTGGAACGAAATTTCAATGAGAGCACACCTACAATATTGTTCTACTTTTAATCTTCATCCTGTCTCGTGGCTCATTATATTCTTATTTTTTATCAATCGACGATGGAAAACCTTTTGTTTCAACTTTTCATCAATTACGAACCTTCTTCTCGGAAGCAGAATACGCCAATCACACCAACTTCATCATCAATTTAACCCGATGAGTACATGAAAGTTGGAAGAACAACTTCATAAGCAGGGCTTTGTAAAAGTTACCTTTTAAGTCTGGAAAGTAACGACCGCAAGTGCGGCCTTGATAACTGGGGTACATAAAAGCAAAAGGCCCACACGACGGGAAAGACCTCCGGCCGAAGCTTTGAAAGCGAGCGGTCAACATGCAGGCTGTAAAAGCTCTCGGTCAAGAGCACGTAAACTTTTCGACCACGGATCAAAGACATAAAGACGGAGTGCTCGTATCTAAAAGCACGGGGAAAAAGTGAAGCTAGGTTCGGCGCTGCGCGTTTGTGTGAGTGTGTAAATGAGCGCGGGAATCCATGGCGGCAAACGGNAAAAAAAAAAAAAAAAAAAAAACCAACGCCTACTTGTATCGAATTGATTACGTAAAATTTTTATTATACTATCCCGTGTTGATTTTAGTTCCATAGGAAGCATGAAGTTCTTACTGGTCTTACTGTAAACTCAGAACACTATAATTCCTTTTGTTATTAGTTAATAAGGACAAAACGAACGTGTTCGGAACGAAATTTCAATGAGAGCACACCTACAATATTGTTCTACTTTTAATCTTCATCCTGTCTCGTGGCTCATTATATTCTTATTTTTTATCAATCGACGATGGAAAACCTTTTGTTTCAACTTTTCATTAATTACGAACCTTCTTCTCGGAAGCAGAATACGCCAAACGCACCAACTTCATCATCAATTTAACCCAATGAGTACATGAAAGTTGGAAGAACAACTTCATAAGCAGGGCTTTGTAAAAGTTACCTTTTAAGTCCAGAAAGTAACGACCGCAAGTGCGGCCTTGATAACTGGGGTACATAAAAGCAAAAGGCCCACACGACGGGAAAGACCTCCGGTCGAGGCTTTGAAATCGAGCGGTCAACATGCAGGCTGTAAAAGCTCTCGGTCAAGAGCACGTAAACTTTTCGACCGCGGATGCACGAGAATAGATCGTATTCGATAGCGGTTCGATGTATCGTTCGGTTCAAAACAATAGAACATAACCTCAAACGAAAATTTTACCCTGGAAAAAAAACACATTGGATCTAGAGTCCAGACTCTTGAAAACATTGACAAGAAAAAAGATTCAGTTAGATTTTTGCTTAAATCGAGAGGAAATCCGCTCAAATTAAGAGGCTTAGTTCTTGATTTAAGCAAAAATCCGATTGAATCAAGAGTATTTTTTCTTGTTGATGTTTTTAAGAGTCTGGATTCTAGATCCAATGTGTTTTTTTTCCAGTGTAGGATTTAAGTTGGAAGAGCTGGAAATGAGAAAATTCCTAAAAATCTCAATTTTCATTGGCATTTGGTACTCGAAAGGATAAAAATCCAATCACCGAAGACCTGTCACCTCAGATTTCTAAATTGACTTTTCGTCGTCTCCTGCGCGAGGGAACGTAACTCCATTCCAAGGTTGCCAAATCGCCTCAAACAATTTCTTTATTTTACAAAGTGACACCTGTGCAATTTTATGAATAATTATTCTGATTTTCCGTGAAATCTAAGGAAAAATCAATGAAATTTTCAGTTAGGAATGCCCAAGATTCTTCTAGTTACTATGGAATTGGTGCTTGGAAAGAAAAAACACATTGGATCTAGAGTCCAGATTCTTAAAAACATCGACAAGAAAAAATACTCTTGATTCAATTAGATTTAAGCTTAAACCAAAAACCAAGCCTCTTAATTTGAGCGGATTTCCTTTTGATTTAAGCAAAAATCTGATTGAATCAAGAGTATTTTTTCTTGTCAATGTTTTCAAGAGTCTGGATCCAATGTGTTTTTTTCCAGTGTGAGGGGGAATTGGAAACATTGAAATAAAGTTACGTTATTACGTGAGGGAAACGGCGTTTTGAGGCTATGTTTACATGTTGAACCAATCGATATCGATACAATCTCGCCTGTTTGATGTATCGATAGTCTCGACGGGGGATGCTGCGGCCGGGGTGACTTTTTACATTTTTCCCGGCGGGGGGTCGGAGGGGGGGAGTGCGGAGGTTGCGTACTATATCACCTCTCACCTCGCCGCGGTGCAGGGAAGCCGACCCATCCCGACTCGTCAAAGTTGACATTAATTTCCATCACAAAGCTTAAGCTACCCGCACGCGACGATCGCGGGTATTGAAACTGTCCGAGTTCGATCGGCACCTACGATCGTATTCGATTGAAAGTCCGAAGGTGCGTTTGAGTTCCGGATCGGTGTTAGCTCGGTGTGAATTAGTTTCCTCGCAGTTTGGTAAGTAGTGGCTTGTGATGACCGCTAAATAAGTTTATCGAGCCTCATCGACTTTCGCTTTCCTCTCATCGAGTAATTGCCTCGCGTCAAATGTGTTCTTGCATCATTCGGCAATATTCGCGATGATTTTTAATAATCGGATGGAGCTCAAGTGATTCGACGGACGCTAAACTTTGTGTCGGAACGACTTGTGGATTGCATTTTGCAAAAAGGAACCACTAGCATTGCAATGTTGCTAAGATTGTGCAACTTCTTTTGACTTGGAGGAAAAACCCGATTATCCATTAATAGTTTCTATTTTGCTCGCTAAAAACTGTAAATTTAAGACAAAAATTACCATCTAAATTTCATAGTTTTTCACGATTTCCGCAATTTTATTGCAAACGATGAAGTTGCACAATCTTAGCATCATTGCAATGCTAGTGGTTCCTTTTTGCAAAATGCAATCCATGTGATATATCGCGTCAATTTATTCCGTCGGCCAGAATTTAAAGGGAAATTTGTTATTCTCCCAAAGCAGCTTACTCGATTAATACCCTCTCGCCGAGACGTCGACTTGAAGAAAATCAATATCGATATAAGGCGCTGGAAGTAATTGATTTTAGTTTCTTCATTATTTTACTCTTCGTCAGTTTTCAGTATGTTGACAATGGCTCTAATTTCTAATTACGTTTTAATTTATTTGGCTGCGAACTTGCAGCTCGTTGATCGAGTCTGCCGCCTTTCGAACGAGGTGGAAAGAGGCGTTCTAAATGTAGCCAAATCTATCCTGCGTTTTTCTACTTAAATAGTTGTAACTTCGAGGTATAACCCGCGATAAAATATAAATAAAAATTGACTTTTTAAATCCAAAATAATTTGTACACTTTCAGAATTTTTTTTAACGTCAAAAAAAAGATTTTATCAAGCAGTGAAAAGAATACGTTAAAGAGAAAGCAAAATCAGCGACAAAGTTACAAAAAACCAAACGTATGAACTTCCTTCGTATTTCCAGTTGTGGAACTTTCCTTCTAATACACGAGCGAGGCTTTTCATCGCAAAAATAAGTGTGCTCGCTTCTTCTAATAAGGATTGCATATTAGAAAATTATGGACAAGCCTGACCATGCAGGGAAAAGAGAGTGAGAATTTTGCGAACAATTTGTTGCCAAAGTAAGTCTGATACATACAAAAATTGTGAATATT